TAATAAAAATAAAAAAAGAAAGGAACACACACAGCAGTGCGATGTGGACTTTTCAATATCTCCCGTTTACTTTAATGACTTGTTTACACACACGATCTGTGTGTCAGTAACAGTGGCGAGATCCATCCCCTAAATACAATCTGTTATCCAGACTATGACAGATGCACATGGGAGATGAGGTATCAGCAATACACTTCACCACGGACAGGCAAAAGCACGGCTGCAACGTTCTTTGATCATGTGTAACCCCCATCGCTTCCTGTTCGGCACCAGGAGACAACACACTTTTTTGAGGTGTGTGAGACAGTTTCAACAGGAGACCCAGATTCCAAATGAAGAATGTTCGTTTCCATCGGCTTCTCTGGAGGAGCCAGAAAGTTCTAAAGGCTTAGACAAGAAGAGAAGGTGGTGGAGGGGAATAGGGGAATTCCTGCTTTAACACAGAATTGCTCCCCTTAATTCAAATAGCATTATCTCCACTGAACAGATGTGGAAAGATTAAATTACCTCATGGTCACGCAGCTGTAAGTGGTGGTGCTAAGATTTGAACCCAGGTCTCATGCTTGTCTGGGCACAAAAGCTTTCACCTCCATGGAGCTGTCTGACAGGGGCCTAGAGGGAGTATGTTAGCAAGGAAAAGGCAAGGACGTCAAGAATGAACAAGCAGTAGTGGAAAAGACGTGGATGCAGAAGGCCCGGGGCCCTAGAGTGTGGTAACCAGCACTTTGCACAGTTAGTTTAATGTTAGCTGACTCAGACCCACAGGAGAAAAATGGAAGAGTTACAATGAACCTCCAGATTTCTCTGTGCCTTCTGCCTTTTGGTGCTGAACAGGAAACTGAGAACATAATCTCTTCGGTAAGCACCTTCCACCCTGGGGTTATGGCCGTGAACTCCAGAGGGACAAAGTTTCGCTCATGGGGGTTGATCACATCGGGGCACTGCTTCCGATGCAGCTCGCTGAAGCCGCCGACACCTCGATGCCAAGGTTTCTCTGACTTTTGGGGACAACATATCGTGCCTCATAATTTGATCAACACCAAATTAACCTGCAGCGTGAGAGCATATGGACCATGTATTTTAAATACGACTTATATAAAATTTACCCTAAATATTTTCCAGGCCTCAAGCGTCTAATAACCAGGCAGCTCAGTGTAGTGTTTATCAGTTAATGCTATTACTGGGCTGGGGGGTGGCGGTGGGGGGGGGGCATCAAAGCAGCTTCAGGGGTGATAATCCGAAGCATAAGACAGCTTGGATTGAGACTGAGGAGAGGCTGGGTGAGGGGTGAAGGGGTATCTTATTATGGAGTATGCAGTGGTGCTTTATGGGATGAGGGTGGCAGCATTTGCAACCCTTCCCAGGATTCTCAGAGCAAAGGCCACAGAATAATAATGGTGGAAACGGAGAAGGGCCACCATGGAGGTGTGTGTGAAGGGGCGAGGTGGAGAAAGGTCAATTTCAAGGCCAGTTAAAGAGGCCCAAGCCTGGCGTCATCGGTAGTGCAATCAAGAGGAGGGTGGGGCCAAAGTCTCGCCACCACTTAATCAAGGCCTTCCAGCAGTCAGGCTGGCTTCTTGCCATCGGATGCAAGGGGAGGCATTTTACTTCTGAATTATAATAATCGTGTTCGAAATGTTAAAACCTCTTGGGCAATAGCAGACCAACTGATGCACTTAGGGAACTCTAAAGCTCAAAAACACACCACTGGTGTGTGGTCTGGACCATGTCCGCGCAAACATGCGTTTTGCGAAATTGCTCTGACCGCCTGCTTTCCTCTTTCATTCTTAACAGAGAAAACAGGTGGAATTAAATACCATAAGCCAAGATTTTGGCTCATAAAAAAGGAAAGTAGTGTTCTTTAAAAAACCCCAAAATCAAACCCCCAGAACAATGTTCACAGCAGCCAGCGGGCAGCACTGGCGTCCTGAGTTCTGTTTTGTCGACAAAAACTATAGTTGTTATTAGAACCTACGTACAAAGCATTCACTCTAAAAAGAGAGAAAACGGTGACACCGTAGTGCATCAAAAAAAACCAACCAACGTACATGAATGGAAGTCAGTGACAAAAGGCATCCAATCTTCATGCCAGACCATAAAAATCACAAAATCATGTAAATGATATAATACTGAATCAGAGAGGCACTCGAGTTTAACAGGCCCATTTTTTGGTAGCTAATCCCAAGCCCAGTTGCAATATTTAATATTCCAGAGAAATACTACAACCAGACTACGTGTTTTCAGGTGACTGGCTCTTTTATATAGAACCCAGTCTGAAAGAAGTGCTATGCAAAATGGGCCCGAGGGAAGTATATTTTCAATAACAGCATTAACAGCCATTAAAACAAAAAAGACCGTGGAAGGAGGAAGGAGGCAGCGGGTAAGGGCTCTGAGGCCCTTGGCTCTCAGCTTCCCCTCAGGCACACGGGGAGCTTTCCTGATTCTATCTGTTCTCTGGGCTTTGGCTCTGCCCACTGGAGACAAAGAGGACCTGAAGTCTAAGGTCAAGTCCGGCCACGGACGAGAAGTGCCTGGCTGGCATGGTGGTGCTTGTGACACAGGATAAGGTGGCCAAGATTAATCTAGGGACTACGCTCGCTCCCTAGGCTCCCCCAGCACACCCCCAAACTGCCTGAGAAGCTTCCACTCTGCCGCCATGTTGATAATTCTGCCAACCAACGAAGACAAATAAACGAAAAATACATTAGCTGTCTGTCCTGCTGCCGTTCCTCCTTTGGCTCTTTTTACTGCTTCAAATGGAAACTGGAGCTCCGGGGAGGAAGTCCTGGGGAAAAGGATTTCAGATACCAACACCTGTAGGTCCCATACCAGCCCAGCAGGCCAAACATGGTGCCGAACACCTTCTGCAAAAAGTCATGGAAATACACGGCCGTGCAGAGAAACATCAACACCCAGATGAAGGTCAGGGTGCCCAGGGCGATGACCAGGGTGGTGATGGCCTTGTGGTGGCGGTGGCTCCGGTCCGTCTTCACCGCGTGCAGGACGGCCATCTCCTCCACAATCATGAGGGCACAGTAGGTGAGCAGGAAGGAGTGGCCTGAGATGTCAAAGCCGTGCCAGAAGCCCCCCGCCCCGAGGCACTGCTGCTTGCTGGGGTGCTCTCTCCTGACCACCTCCAGGGCCGGCGAGCGGTAGCAGCTGCCCGTGTAGTGCTCGACGCTGCAGAAGAGGGCGGTGCACACGTACCAGACGGCCGTGCCCACGAGCAGTGTGCTCAGCCGCCGCAGCACCTGCCCAGGCTTGCCGGTCAGGTGGTAGTTGGTGAGGGCAATGAACGGCAGCAGCAGGCAGAAGGTCCAGCCCCAGGCCACTTTGACAAAATACCTGGAGGGGAGGAAAGCAGAAGTGAAGAGATGGGAGACGGTGGGGAAGAGAATAACATCCTGAGTGGGCTCGCTAGACTCCCAGGGGAGTAGAGGAGAGAAACTTGGTGGCTTGGTGGTAGGAAGCTTGCTACAGTCCCAAAGGCACACGGCTCCCAAACATCAAATGCTGGCGAGGTTGTGGAGAACTTGTGGAGAACCTGGAACCTTTATTCACTGTTGTGGGAGTGTAAAATGGTGCAACCACTGTGGAAGGTGGTATGGCACTTTCTCAAAAAGTTGCAAATAGAAATATCATTTGACCCAGCAGTTCCACTACAGGGAATATACCCCAAAGAGACCATAACTGACATCCAAGCAGATATATGCACACACGCTTATTGCGGCTTTGTTCGCAATAGCAAAGAGTTGGAAACAACCCAAGTGCCCATCAACAAACGAATGAATAGAGAAGCTGTGGTATATTCACACAATGGAGTACTACGCTGCATTGAAAAACAAGGAACTCGTGCAATATTATTCAAAATGGATGACCCTGGAGGACATTATGCTGATTGAAATATCTCAATCACAAAAGGACAAATAATGCATAGGGCTGCTGTTGTAAAATGGGACTGACATTAGGGTTGAGGGAAAACAGAGAAGGAGGGGAGGAATGATGTATACTGCATTGAAACAGATGAGGGAGAGAACTGTTTAAAAGGGACATATGAATGGGTATTCTTGTCATGACAGAAGTCCAGAGTGAAGGCTACATAGTGAAATGGACTTGGGGGGAGGGGCTACATAACAATTCAAGAGTTTTTCTTTACAAGGAGAAGAGTGGTTTGGGGGTGGGAGGGCGTGGGCAGGGAGAAAAGTGCAACAGTGAATGACTGGAAACCCTAATTCTCTGTAAACTTTCATTTAAATGAATAAAAAAAAATGTATTAAAAAATAGGCACAAGGGCAATATCCTCCTGTGTGATCTACAGCCATGGTAGGGAACTAGTGAATCATTGGGCCGGGAAGAGACCTTGAAAGTAATTTGGTTCCTTCTGTGATAAGTGATCACAAGATAAGCGATCTGTGATAACAAGGCCAGAATTTAAAAAGTAGTTGCCAGGCCTCCTGCGTATGTGCAGCCAGACACCCCGTGGGATTTTCTTCCTTGGCTTGGATGGTTAGGGTCATGGTTTAGGGAGATCTCAATTAAATGACTTAATATTCTGTTTGTTGTTGTTGTTGGGTACCACTGTCATGGTAGGGTCAGCTAGGGGTCAGTTCTGACTGGACCGTAAAGAACATGTTTTGAGGAAGCTCTGGTAGACTAGTGGTAAGGCGTTGTGCGGCCAACCCAAAGGCATGTGGTCCAAGGTCATCAGCTGCCCCAAGGGAGATAGATGGGCAATCTAATCAAGTGCAATTTACAGCCTCTGAAAACTCAGGTAGGATCAACTATGAGTTAGTTCTAACTGACAGCACACAACAACAATACCACATTTCATCCTTATTGTTGTTGTTGTTGTTGTTGTTGTTGTTATGTGCCGTCTCTTGCGACTCATAGCGACCCTATGTACAACAGCCCTAAACTCTGCTCTGTCCTGTGCCAATCGCACTGTCTCTGACACTCCCATCTCAATTATCCCAGTCACTGAATCAATCCACCTCATAGAGGGCCTTCCTCTCCTGTGCTGTCCCTCATCCTTATTAGATGTTTCAAATGCTAGGCACTTTAGATCTATTATTTACTTCTTAAATTCTACTCTTTGAGGTAGGGGCCGTACCCATTTTAAAATGAAAAACATTCGCACTAACCAGTCATTCTCTAAGAGATGTGCAATCCGTCTCCATAAACATCCCCACTGTTGTGGCGTCAATGCAGACACACAGTGACCGCACATCAGACTCCTGCAGCTGTGAATCGGTCAAGAAGGGCAACCACCCGGCTTTCCCATGGAGTGGCCAGTGGATTTGAGCTACTGACCTTTCAGAGACCAGCCTAATCCACTACTCACTATACCACCAGGGTTCCCGTCCATAAAGATTCTCAAATTCATTGCTGGCAAATTGGAGCCGACTCAGAGTTGGCCCTCCTCTGGCTTGCTGAGGCTATAGAGAGGAGATTGCCCATCTTTGTCCTGAGGAGCTGCTCATGGATTTAAACTGCCCGAGAGGAACCTCCTTTGGGTGAACAACACAACTCCCTACCAACGGCCTTACCTTGGAACTCCTCTGGGGTCCAAGCTGCCAATGGCAGCCTGCCAGCAGGTAGCGTGTTAATTATTCAGATACGTAATAATTCAGGGAGCTCTGGTGGCCTCCTGGTAAGAAACTGCGCTGCAATCCCAAAGGCACACAGTCTGAATTCACTAGCTGCTCTGCGGAAGAAGGATGGGCAATCTCTTTCTGTGAGATTAACTGCCTCTGAAAACTCTCTGGAGGGTCAGCTATGGGTTGGTTTTGACTTGAATGACAACAGTAATTCAGCACTTGTCAAATTCTGAGAGTTTACTGACACTCCCTTCCCCAAACTTCTTAGCTACCCTGGGAGGAAGGTCTTGACAAGAGCGCTAAGACTCGGAAAAATTCAGTAACTTGTCCCGTGTGTCACACAACCAGCAAGCACAGATTAAACCAAGGTTTGGCCGGCCCACAGCCCAGGGCCACCAAAACTCAAAGCCCACCGCATGACACCTCTTCTGTAAAAGGCAGGCACGATCCTGGAAACATCCAGCCCCAGCCAATGGAGCTGGTGGCACACAGGTGCCAGACGTCAACCTCAAGGACCCATTTTCAAATGGTGATTCTGATCTAGTACGCTGACTCTGATCTAACTTGTCACTGTCTGTCGAAAGCTCTCTTCTCTCAGCTGTTGAGATAAGGGATCACATAATTTGTCTTTCTTCTTTAAATTTTATTATGTTATTGTTGAATATGTGTGTGTGTGTGTGTGTATAGGCCATTTCTTCCTGTGCAATTTAAAAAGCTTCTGAAAACCTACTGGAGGGTCAGCTACCTCAGTGTAGTCAGTTCCAACTCAGTGGTTCCCAACAACAACAACAAACAGAATATTAAGTCATTTAATTGAGATCTCCCTAAACCATGACCCTAACCATCCAAGCCAAGGGAGAAAATCCCACGGGGTGTCTGGCTGCACATACGCAGGAGGCCTGGCAACTACTTTTTAAATTCTGGCCTTGTTATCACAGATCGCTTATCTTGTGATCACTTATCACAGAAGGAACCAAATTACTTTCAAGGTCCCTTCCCGGCCCAATGATTCACTAGTTCCCTTCGTGAATAAGCACAGAGGCGTGGAACAAAATGCCTCTATCCCTAGCTACCCCTAAACAAGCTGGACTTGCTGGCCAGGCGACTTGGCTCCTAGTCCACCAGGGAGGACAGAATAGCAGCTGCCTTGCCGGCCTCCCATGTGCTCGGGAAGGGTGACTAGGCGCAGAGAACTCATAACCAAGAGATCTGGGGACACCACCTCGCTCAGAATCTATTCTTAGCCCAGCTATGCAGGGTGGGTGAGAAAGGACAGTGGGACAAGGACAGAGTGATTTCTTCCCCTAGAACCCAAGGGTTTCTCTGATACCACTCAAGAGCCTGTCACTCCAATCTGCACTGGTGGGACGGACATACCTCACCAGAGCCAAGATCTGTGTGACATCTGAAAAAACTGTCTGGGAGGGAAACCAGGCTTTTAAGTAGATAAAGTCCGGCAGGCTTCACAGAGATGCTGAAGACACACTCATTTCGAAGGAGGGGAAAAAATCAGTATTCAGATCAAGGGATATGTTTTCTCTTCCAGAACTTCCTTTTAATATTGCAACAGTGCTAAAAACTTTAAAAATCTTACAAGTTTAAAGAAAAAAAAAAAAAAAAGGAGGAATTGGTGGGAGGATCCAGCAGAGGCTGGGCTGTTGCCATGCACTTTAGTGACAGAGATTGTCCAAGGAAATTCAAGAGAAAGGTCATGCCTGGAGGGTTCCTGGTTATCAGCTGCCCTGTATCTCTGGGTGCAAGTACCCGTCACTCGTCACTGGCTGGGCCGAGGATTCCCCAGGGGGGATGGGAGCAGGTGAGTGTCACAGGTGGTAACCAGAGTCTGTTACAGGTGAGGGGTGGGCACAGAGAGAGAGATGGGGTCTGATAATAGCAGGCAAGGCTGCAGTATCTAACGAACAGGATCAAGGACCAAGTCCTCTTTCTATGAGGGGAAAAGTTAGAAGGAGGGACAGCGACACAGATTGTTTCAGATGTCGTCCCCCCCACACCACACCACCCATTGCGCACACAGACAGCCTCACAACCCTGCTGGTCACTCTCTGTCCAGCCAAGTACAGGTTACTCTGCGTCTGCAGGGACGCAGGCATCGCTGATGATATCAGCTGTGGCTGACATCAGCTGTGGTTCCCTGAGGACCCAGGAGCGTGCAAGGTGCTGCTGTCACGATCGGGAGGAGCGCACGCCCTAAAGGACACGTCCACCCCCGGGGAGCCAAGCCCCGGACAAGGGGCCCCGTGGTCATCTAGGGGACACGAGGGGGACGGGAGGGGCCCGGCGGGAGCACTCACACGTTGAAGACGTTGCGCTTGTTGCTGAGATAGCTCTCGGGCAGCGGCGAGACTTCCTTGAGGACGGAGCCGGTCAGCATGAAGGCCACCAGCGCCCAGGGCAGGTAGCGCCGCACAGCTGCCCGCACCAGCGTGCCCCTGACGAGCCACGCGCAGCGATCCAGGTGATCCATGTCCAACCTCGTCGGCCACCGTCTGCCTCCCAGCACCTCCCGGCCACCGTCTTTGCCCTTCGCCGGGGCCTGTGCCCTCCCCGGCCTTGGGGCGCATGCGTGCCACCCGGGGGCCACGCCCCCAGCTGTGTTCGTGCGCGCCGAAGCCCGCGCGCTCCCTCTGCTGGTCGTTGGCAGACACTGCAGGGAGCTCATCGCAACTGCTCGCTTTCCTCTTCGCTTCGCCCCGCCACTGCGGGCCATAAATTCGAATCTCAGCCTCGGCCTTCTTGCTTTATCGAGAATGCACAAATGGGAATGTTTCGTGCGGGACGAGTATTGTTGTTGTTGTTAGATGCCGTTGAGTCGGACTCATGTTATTGTTGTTATGTGCCGTCGAGTTGCTTGCTACTCATAGCGACCCTATGTATAACAGCCCTAAACCCTGCTCTGTCCTGTGCTAGCCGCACTGTCTCCGACACACCCATCCCGATTACCCCAGTCACCGAATCAATCCATCTCATAGAGGGTCTTCCCCTCCTGCGCTGTCCCTCCACTCTCCCAAGCATGATGTCCCTCTCCAAGGACCTGCCCCTCCTTACAACATGTCCAAAGTATGTCAGACGAAGCCCCAGAATCCTTGCCTCCAAGGAGTAGCCTGGTTTAACCCTCTCTAAGATGAATCTGTTTGTTTTCCTAGCAGTCCATGGTATTCTCAATACTCTTCTCCAGCATCACAGCTCAAAGGCATCAATTCTCCTTCTATCCTCCTTAGTCATTGTCCGACTCTCTGATGCATAAACAAGTGATAGTTGGACCCACAGAGACCCTATGAACAGATCTGAACCTTGTCCTATCCTGTGCCGTCCTCATCGACTCTTACATGTTTGCGGAGATCGCTACAGTCTCTGTGTCAGTCCATTTGACTGAAGATCGTCCTCTTTTTCACCTTCCTAAGCACGATGTTCCGCAAGAAGCTGCACTGCGATCCCAGAGGCGTGTGGTTCAAATCCACCAGATGCTCTGCTGGAGAAGGAGGGCCAATCTCCTCCAGTACCAGTCAGATCCGATTAGACAGTACAGACACACAAAAATAATAATACAATTTAAAAAACCCAACAAAACAACCAAGCACGATGTTCCTCTCCGTTGAATAGTCTCTTCTAGCAACATGCCCAACATATATAAGAAAGTTTTTATTCTCTTTCCTCCAAGGAGCACTCTGGCTGCACCTTCTCCAAGACATATCTGTTTGTTGTTTTGGAAGTCCGTAGGCTATTCAGTGCTGTTTTCTAACACCACAACTCAAAGGCATAATTTCTTCTTTTGACACCCTTTGTTTTTTGTTGTTTTTTTTTATTTTTTTATTTTGTGTGCGTGTACCGTCAAATCAGATCTGACTGGTACAGGAGGATATTGCGCCTCCTTCTCCGGCAGAGCATCTGGTGGATTTGAACCGTGTTCCTCTGGGATTGCGTGCAGCTTCTTGCCACTAGGCCACCAGAGCTCCCCTTCTTTTGACACCCTTATTCATTATCTAGCAAGTGATTGAAAAGACCATGATGGTCTGAGTCAGGCATACCTTAGTCCTCAAACTGACATCATTGCTCCTCAATAATTTGGAGAAGTCCCTGACGGCAGACTTGCCCAATGTAGTACATCTCTTAGTCTCCTGATTGTTGGTCCCAAGTGTATGGATTGTGGATCCAAGTAAGATGAAGTGAGGGAAGACAGACTATTATTAAGTCCATTTCCATGATGATCCTAAGAAAAGAGTAGAACTGTCTCATGGGATTTCCATGACAGTAAACCTCCCCCTCTGTATACCTCTAACCAGGCTGTCAGTCTTATGACACAGCCAACCTTTCATTTTGAAGCCCACTGCTTAACCCTCTGCAACACCAGCACTCCTCTGATTGCTGAAGGTTATGGGGAAATGAATGTTGCAGCGGGTGAATCAGAGCAGTGGTTACAACACCAATTAGTCTCTACTTTACCTTTTGCCTCTGAGCTTGAGATTTCTCATCTGTAGAATGAGAGAGACAGTGGCAAGAAGCTGCACTGCAGTCTCAGAGGTATGTGGTTCGAATCCACCAGATGCTCTGCTGGAGAAGGAGGGGCAATTTCCTCCCATACCAGTTGGATCTGATTTGATGGTACGTACACACACACACACACACTAAAACAAACATTTTTAAAAATTGAGAGAGACAGGGATTTTCCAAGAGTTATTTTATGGATAGTGATTCCTTATGGAAGGCCAGGTACATATTAGATTTCACTGGAAACTCAATTAATAAAATACTAAATTTATTTTCTCTTTTGAAGCATCTATGTATATGGAATGAAAATGCTGGACCATGCCGTTTAATGGAGATCTGATGAGCATGTTGGTGACTAAGTTTGCCACAGTTTATCAAAATTAAGTCCTCTTAACCCTTATCACTGCTGGGTATCACTGTTTCCCATCCTTGAATCATTCCTTTGTCATCTTCACAACTTTTGTGCCATCCATATGCCACATAGTCCACATGGACTGCTAGGAGAACAAACAGGTTCGTTCTTGAGAGGGTGAAACCAGGATGCTGTTTGGAGGTAAGGATTCAGAAGCTCCACCTCACATACTTTGTGCATGTTGCCAGGAAGGACCAGTCCTTGGAGAAGATCATGCCTGAAAGGGTGGAGGGACAAACTAGAAGAGGAAGACTCTGGATGAGATAGATTGACATGATAACTGGAGCAATGGGATTAGGTGTGTCTGAGTCAGTGAGACAAGCTCAAGACAGAGCTGTTGTTCGTGGAGTCACTATGAGTTGCAGGCGACTCAACAGGACAAAACAACAACAACAGCAACATGCATCTGGGGTCTCTGGTGGTGTCGTTAGTAGCAAGATGTGCTGCTAAAACCAAAGGCTGGTCTCTAGGAGCTCCCAAGAGAACAAAGGACAGTCTCCTCTTGTGATTTACAGCCTTGGAGACCTGGAGGAGGGTCACAAAGTGTCAGGATCCGACTGACAGCAGTGAGCACCTGAAAGTTAGACAATGACTCAAGAAAACCAGATACCTTTTAAGGGAGCTCTGGTGGCCTAGTGGCAAGAAGCTGCACTGCAATCTCAGAGGTGTGAGGTTCAAATCCGCCAGGATCTCTGCTGGAGAAGGAAGGGCAATCTCCTCCTGTACCAGTCACATCCAATTTGATGGTACATACAAAATTTTAAAAAAATGATGCCTTTTAATTGCAGTACTGGTGAAGATGGCTGATTGTGCCATGGCTGCTTAAAGGGACAATCTTACATTTGCAAAGCACAGCAGGACACCCTTAGCAGCAAGGATGGGAGACTGTCTCACATATTCTGGCCTTGTGATTGTTGTTGTTGTTAAGTGCCGTCGAGTCATAAGCAATCATAGCAAACCTATGAATGAAAGACCTGAACACTTGTATAACTTTCATCCTTTCTCCGGGTTCATAAGGTTTCTGGAGGCAAGCCATTTTGGAAATGAATGCCACTCCTGCTTCCAGGCTTCTTTTAATCAGGAAGCTCCACCAAACACTGTCCACCATGGGTGACCATATCGCATTTGACACATCAGTGTCACAGTGTTCAGCTTCACAGCAACCACAAGCTACCTCTGTACAGCAAGTGGACAAACCAGGGCTATAAGACCTAGAAGAATTCGGGCATGTGATTGGAAGGGACCAATTCTTGGAAATATTTGGAAAGGTGAAGGGTCTGTAAAGGAGGGGAAGAGCTTCAAAGGGAAGGATTTACACAGCTGCTGCAACTTGGGCTTCAGCACAGCAACAGGGTGAGGCTGGTGCAGAACAATGTGAGGTTTTCATGTGTTGTACCGGACAGGGTGAGGTTTTAATCTGTTGCACATGGGCCTGCTGTGAAACAGATTCAGCCTGAGGGCATCTAACACCACCACACCGCAGCCTTGGAGGCACAATGTGGGCTGCTAACTGAAGTTTGGCAGTTTGAGTCCTCAGAAGACACCATCTGTTCCTGTAAATATTTATGGCTCCAGAAACCCAATGGAGGGCCACCATGGACCGACAGTGAGTTGTGGAATAGCTTAGAATGTAGCGTTTGTAAACCACAGCACTAGGGAATTCTGGTAGTCCCCAGGTAGTATAAATAGTTATCATGCTCCCTGCTAACAGAAAGACAGGGGGATCCAGTCCATCCAGGGATGACTTGGAAGAAAGTCCTGGTGATTCATCAGCCTTTGAAAACCTCAGGGAGCATAGTTCTTTGACACGCATGTGGCTGCCATGAACATAAGAGAACCCTTCCTTAAGTTGCCACCCTTCCCACCAAAGAGTGTTAAAAGATCACAAGGTCAGAGTTCTGCCATGGCTGATATGCCAGTGGTAAACGGTGGAATTGTTACTGTTCATTTCTACGCTTATTTAGTCCACAAATGTGTGTTGCTGTTTGCTGTGGAGTCAGAGCTGACCCACAGCGGATCCTCCAGCGAGTGTTCACAGGCGGTAAACAGCGCGCGACGAGACTGTCCATCCTTCTCTAAACAGCATCTAATGGATGTGGTAGAACCAGCTGTGTAGACAGCCCGGCAGGCACTGGGATGGCGGTGAAGGTTAAAAAGACAACGGGAGGGGCAAGAATAGATGTATATGGTCTCTGACCTCCAGGGAACTTAAAAATCTAATAAAGGTGATAATCATTTATTCAATCAACATTTGCCAGCTACTTCCTGTGAGCTGAACTTTGGGCTAAGTATTGAGACCGTCAATGTTTTGTTTGAATAGCTGAGTTTCCCAGATCATTGCAGATGTATCACTTAACTACCCCTTCAATACACCGTTTCCCGGATCGGAGGCAGAACAAGTACGTGATAAGCCTGGAACATCTTCTCCAACCAGACAGCAAGGACGCCGTAAATTATTAAAGATGCTTCAGATCATCTCAGAAGGACAGAGGCATCAATAGACAGGAACCGTTTGAGCACAAATAAAAATAGTAGCTGTGGTGAACGGAAACAATGCAGCCTACAGT